AATCCAATTGGTAGAATGTAAGGAAAATGTATGTCACCTGATATTCCATTTGAATAAGCTTGATTGTCGTGCAGCTGTAAAAGGAACTTGAGATGACTAGGTACACATCGTGAGAGCAATTCAAGAACACATTTAGTCAAGGATGGAAACATACCTCCAAGGACTTCTTTATTTCAACCGTTACAGACATTAATTAAGACATCGATTTAATAAAAAGTTCTCGGTCTAATCCAATGCAGCAGCTTCCAAGATTATCTCAGTTGTATGTCAAAGTCAACTTGTTAATCATTTCACCTTACGGGAGATGGACCACGACTTGGTTCCCCGCGTTTTCCTGCGGTTCAGGAAGTTTAATTGGTTTTACTTTGAATTGTCATTGGCTCTTAAAGTTATTTTCGTTTCTTCAAGTTGGCCGTTGCGATTAGTTTGGGGTTTGTTTTACGACACTCAATCGAAATGCTCGATCCAAACAATTACGGTAAGCCATTTACGAGAACCACAAGGCTCCTGTTGAGGCAAAGATACTCGTAAAGCCTTTGTCTTGACACACATATTCATTCTCAACCAAACAATTCACTTTTGCACCCCAAAGGTTTTGCAATTCGCCTCAGTTTTAAGGTGAGGGGGTTTTAAACTTGAAATTGGCACAAGTTCATTTATTATTTCTTATCTATCAACCTGGCCGCAACACCGGAACATCGAGTAGTTATCCAGTGCAAATTCAACTCTTTAGCAGCATGAAAATTTAAATGTATATTTACAGTCGAGTGTGGGCTTCGCCTTGAACAGGTGTGTTAAAACGAAATGCTTAGGGAGCATCATCAAATGTTTTTTGGTGTTTGGGTTGTCGTCATTTTTGGCGGTGTCTTGTATTTTGAACTGCTTTGTCATTTTAGTTAGCGTTTGGAATTCAAGAGTGCCATTTTATAGTTCACAAATTTGTCCCACACACTAGTCGGCACATCATTCTGGTACCCTTTAACACTATATAAGACAAAAAAAATTTGAAAATCTTGTGTATAACCAACGCCAGCTTTAATTTTTTAAACCACATCAACCGTGAGATAAGTTGGAGTCTTATTTTTATATTTATGTAAATGAATTATGCTTCGGCTGTGATTATTAAGCAAATTAGTTGATGTTCTCGAAAATGTCTCAATAGTATTAGTGGCAGATATTTGAACCGTTGAAATGTCAATTAATGAAGGAAAATACAGTTAGAAAAAGACAGAATATTCACCAGTTTGAATTGGATATGAATTTAAACCCACACGATTACTATAAAACCTTTTGCTTGAATCAAGATGAAGCTTCATCTCATAGGTAGGTTTTTTTTTTACTGTGTGAAAGTCTTTATGAGTAGTTTGGACACCTGTTATATCATCTTCGTCACTAATTAAAATTCAGAAGAAGAGTTATCCATAAGATATTGAAACGCGTTTTTCTTGTCTGTAATTGACACAGAATGATTAAATCTGTCATCAACGTACTTCTCATATTTAGTCTGAATAATGGTTTGAAGGTTTGCATTGCTATTAAAGAGTTCTTTAATAAATAAACCAACATTAACTGCATGAGTTCTTCATACGATTAAGGCTCTTTGAGACTAGTCATACTCTTTGCATTCATGTTCAAACCACCAGTCATTGCTCTTGAACCATCAAATAACTAAAACTTATTTGTCTTTGTATCAACAAACCGTTTGTTTGTTCCTTCTGTTGGATTGGTAGCGTCACCCAAATTAATTGATCAGTTTGGTCCTTTCATATCGAGCCCACAGGACAAATTCATACCAAATGCTCTCGAATCAACGTATGATTTGTTTACTACGTCTTTATCAGAGCAATCTCCTCTATTGTGATCTGGGATAAGTATCCTACTCTTTGTCTGGGGTATTAAATTTTCCTTATATCGACTTTTTTGTTTGTTAAGTCGATCAACCGGCTGAGGTTGATAGTATCATCATCGTATTGTGCTCTTTTGAGGTCCGTTATCGTTTCGTCTTTTGCATCTCATCGATCATCATTTTATATTTTTAAGAATTTGTAATCATCCACCTTTTTACGATATCTCATTTCACAAAATAATTTATTAACTGCGTCGTAAGTACTCACCGGTGTGTGCACATTTTTCATTCTATTGCTGTTCAGATTGATGTCATTTAGAAAGGCTTCAGGGCCATCGAGAATACTATTTGCAATAGTGTCAACTTATTTCTTGTTTGAAGCGTCTGTTTGATTGACCGGGTACGTGTGTAGTTCACAAGTTTTTACGTGCGGGCTGTAATGCCTGCTATGTCGGCGAAACCTCTTGGCATTTATTCATACGCGTGCGTGAGCACTTGGTCAGTGATAGGACATCTCACAGTTTAAGACATTTACAAATTTCTCGACAATGTCGCACTTTATGTTCTGATGAGTGTTTTAGCATCTTAGATCACGCTTCCACAACTCTCCAACTTAAAATGAAAGAAGCTATCCACGTTTAATGGGAGCAACCTACTCTTAATCATCATCTTTATCCTTTTAATATAGAACTTTCCTTGTAATTGCATACATTGTTTTGTTTCTGTTGTTTGTTTGTCCAATGAGCATTTTGTTATACACTTTAAATTTGTATAAATCAGAACTGAAGATGACAGAAGAACTATCGAGACATGTTTTTAAGAAATCTCGTATATTTTCTTAAATTCTTTGGTATATATTTTCGAAGCTATCACTTGACCTGAGAACAATAGCAGTCTGATGACTTGTTTCCTCGGGAAAGCCCCCCTGGTATTACTTCCCTGTTTTCTGGGAATGTCACGCAATGGAAAAATGATGTGAGATCACAGCATTAGTCTCCTATAGTATTTGAACGCTTTGATATTATAAAATGATTCCATCAAATGATTTCGTTAAAAATTTCCATAATATGGAAAGTAGTATAGAGAGTTGGCGTTTTCGTACACGGTCACTTTGTGGTCTCGCCCCGCCAACTCCCTGTACTATTCATTTGAATGTAAATCACTCGCGCGTGCCCAAAGAGATATCGATGATATTACAAATAAAATACATTTTGCTGATTTTTGTGACTTTACAGTCACCACCACCCGACGAAAATCATTACCCTTTGCAACATCGGTTGATTGGGACTCACTGGGGAAATTCGAAGGTGAAGATGTCTTGCAATAAATGTTCACAACTGTTCTTAACTGTCCTTCTCAAGTGACGAACTCATTAGTACAAAGCGGGTTTTACTACTTTACTCTGTCATAAACTATTACACTCTTGAACGGATTTTTCGACATGTTCGGGCAAAACTCGAAAAAAATAAAAAAACAATAAATTGAAACTGGGGGAAAGAATTGTCCAAGCAGAACCTCTATGACAAGTTTCTTATCAAACTCTACTCTTCCGTCCAGTGAGTTTGTGTCAAATCAGTTGTATGGAATTCTGTACTGTTTTAACTCAAAGTTGGTCAGTTTGAATACTTTGCAAAACATTTCAATTGATTTTCTTCTTACTTTGGGGTTTCAAAAGCAGTGACGTTGTCAACGCCAGCTTTTTTCCCGTCTGTCGTTAAGGTTTCACGATGATCTGAGCGAAGACTGCATTAACTGATGACTGAGTTTCGATTTTCAATTCAGGTATGTCAAAGTAGCCTGCTTCAACAAAAATTCGTGTTGAGGAGACATGAAATCAAGCTTAACGTAATTTCTCATATGTCGTAGTTTTTTCTTCTTTTGTGAGCAGTGTAGCTAGTGCAGTTCGAATTACATAAAGACCGAGGAAATCTGTGAAAAAATAATTTACAAAAGCTTGTGAATATTCCAAAGTAGACAAATATTTACATGAGCGAACAAGTCCTCTAGTTCTTGTCTTGTCTCATTACTTATTTCTATAATACTGTTAAGTTTGGATATAACGCCGTCATTTGTTGAAAGAGCATGCCCTATCAGAGTATAAAGCATAGAGAGCTGAGCTAAAGCTGTCACGCCATCTACCAAATTGTGCTATGTCAGACCCGTTCCGGGCTTTCTCTCTAGCTTTTTTTCGTTAATTGAAAGTGAATTTTCGGAACAAGCGAGCCGACAAGTAGCAACAGAAGAACCAAAAATGCTTTGAGCAGAGTGAGCATAGACGAAAATCCTCAAAGAGAAAACGAAATGGACAGTCCGAGTTTTGAAGCTTTTCACGTTCAGTTATATTGCCAACTTGTGTACGGTAATAAAAATCAAACAGCTTACACTCGTATAGTTTCGTGTTCAAAAACAAAACAGAACAAAGCAGGAATTATGAAAAATATAGCCAAACTGGCATAAGTCTTAAAATTCATACTAATTCATACTAATGACGGTGTCAGAGCGACTGCGATCATGCTGAGGTCCATCGCGGCTACGTCATCATGGCGATCTCCGGTCATCGCAGTGAAGCAAGCCTCAGAAATTACAATAGCCGCTCTTCGGGTGAACAACTAATGTGTGTGTCCTTAAAAGGACACACAAACAAGTTGAAATACGGTACAGAGTTCTTTACAAAACAACATGCATACACTCTGAAAGAATTCTTTCTTCCGAGATTTTGCACGCGGAACGCGATGAACTAGCCCTCCTTCCTACAAATTTTTTTTCCATCATTAATGATTTAACGCTGTTATGGACTACAATGGTTTTGTGCAGATAGTCTTAATATTTCAACGAAAATTATCGAAAAGACGCTTTCCGATAACCTTTGTTAACTCTGTAACAAATTTTATTTTCGTTTTCCGTTTTTCTT